AGTCTATGTTTTTATGCTGATTGTTCCTCATTAGAGGGGCAAACAAAAGCAGAAATTCTGACCGAGGACTGAGTGCTGAGGATGATAAATAGCTGTGGAGATCAATGTGTTTCATTCAGACAGTTGCAAAAAACAACTGATTTTGCAGTTGCCAATACTCTGATTACAAACAGTCTAATTTAGAGTCACCAATTCCACAATGGAAGCATAAAACATGTAAAATGTATTGAGGTGACTCAGCTCAGTATTTCCAACTTTCATCCTCAAGATCATCTTAAAGAAATGATTTGAAGACCCCGATGAAATGCTGTGCATGTTCAAAATGGCCAAGAAAACTGGGCCTGGAGAAATTCTAGGAGCCTGGCTGGATACAATGTAGGGGTGGGACAAATGGCTGACTGGGCCAAATGGGATGCCCAGGGTTGCTCAGATTAGAGCTAGCTTTTGGAAAAAATGGGCCCAGGGCAGAGGTCTGGGGTGGGATGTGCATATCTCCAGGTTTAGGTGCATTGGGTCACCCCATTGGGATAGTCTACATTGGGATGAACCAGGATCATAATGCAGAAAAAAGCTTTGAATCCCCAGAAATTTTCCCTACGATCCAAAAAAAGCAATGATGAAACCACAGTTAATATGTGGAAAACACTCAGAATCTCGAGATACATATTTTAAAAATTACTATTGATATAAATTTCATTAATCGTTCTTATCGGTGTTACCTTTTGTCATACTCTTTATTATTTTTACTTGCACATTACTCCAAAATAATTCATTCTTATTGTACACAATGTAAAAGGTGCAGAAAAGCAGAAGGAAGAAAAAAGATCACTTTTATGTTTTCATGGACTTCTTCCAATCATTTTTTACATGTCTACATAACAAAATTAGGAATACACGAATGTTGGTAAAAAAATAAATACACACAAAACTCACCTAAGTGCCTACCTGGGAAAGGACCCAGGATAAAAGAAAATGGAACAGGAAAGACAAATGCCTGGGCTACTGGTTCATGGTATTACCCTACTACACTCATATAAAATTTGCCTTGCACAACTATGAGCTAAGTTAATTTCTTCCCCCACCTCTCTCAATCATTGACTCTTGGGGAGAAGCTTCTATTTTAGAGTAATTACTTTTTAATCCAACATCATGGAGACCCATTGGCCAGAAAGAATAAGATTGAGAAAATTCATTTAAAACATCCCCCCCCGCCGCCCAACCCCACTCACAGTTTCATTTAAAAAGTCTAAAGCACATTATGTTTTGGGGCCAAGCCAGCCAGACTCATTACTGTAGATCAATTAGGGTCTCATCAGTGGCTTGTGGGATATTGGGTCTGGGCTGTACCTCTGCATGCCATCCAGATAGACTAAAATCAGAGATTTAAAATATAAAATTTCCTAATTTTGGAATACAGGCCCTGGGAGTCAGGTTGACTGGTTGGTGATCCCGATGCTGGAGGAAAACATGCTCAGCTCCTATATCCAGAACACTTCCTACCAGCAGCCTATCTGCCCAGAATCTATCAATCACAGGGAAGTTCAGGCAGATCTCATCACCCCTGAAGCTGAAATCCCACAAGCCCATGGCATGAACCAAGAAACTGAGGCTAGTGGAGATTAAGTCATCTGCCCAGAGTCACAGAGCTGGCAAGTAAACCAACATTGTTGGGATGCCCAAGCTCATTTCTTGAGACTGGCTAGCTTATCATCAAACTCTGAGGCACAGTCAGACCTCATCTCTGAGAAACCTCAACCTTCCACACACATGGCTTGCTTTAAAAGTACAAAGCTACCAAGAAAGCGCTAATTTAGACAGTTTTCCTTCTGCTAACCTCTAAGACACAAAAACATAGCCGATTGTTTTGTTTCAGCTGACTCATGCTGACTTTTCACACTTTATATTGATTTTCAGGGTGGTAATGACCAAGCAGGAGTCTGCAGTTGGTGGAAGACTTCCCGTCTAAGCCATTTTCCAGACCTTATCTTTGTGAACATTGGTCCTACCTGGCCCTGGACTGAAGTTCCAATATTAGACTGTTTACAACTCAAACTAATGACACGAAAAGCCCTTCTTTGCCTGCCTTCACTTACTTAACCAAACATATCAGTCATCATTTGCCAACAACCAGCCACTTGTCTCAGAAGCCATTTTCTTCTCTCCATCGCCTGTGTTCTGTGATTTTGATGGAGCTGTACTTATGACCTGGTCCTTCACATACTTGGAGGCACAACTCATATCCTCCCTCCTCTGAGAATCTTTCCCTGATGACTCTTGTCCACGTGGATGTGTCACCTTTTTTTTTTTTTTTGAGTACTTAAGATCTGTACTGAACCTTAGGACATCGGAGGTTGTTGTGTCTTGTTTTATTCTTGTTTATTTTGTATGTTGAACTTAATCTTCCCTTCGAGGACTAAGCCTTCTCAAGGATTCCAACTAAAAATGTGTACAACTTGGTAACCAGCATCCGTGACGAGGAGTCTTGCAAGCAGAAGAGGCTCAGTAACTTCTTCTGGAATAATTCAAGGAATGAAGTAATTGTGAGGTCGGTTGTCTCTTCTGGAGTGCCTAGAACAATTCTCAATACAGTTTTTAAAATAGTTGTTGGCTGAAATCTATTTTCACGGTTTGGGGCCCTCCCTGAGGCGTTTCTGCATTATTTTGAAATATGGTCGAAACAGGTGTTCAGTGACCTCAAAGGCCCTTAACAATGGTTCTCAAGCTTCAGCCTGTTGGGCCTCATCCCCAGAGAGTGTCACTCAGTCAGATTAGGATAAGGCACGAGAATATTCATTTCTAACAGGTAGTGCTGCTGCTGCTGGTGTAGTAGTCATACTTGGAGAATAACTACCCCGTAAGGTCACACCACCGCCCTCTCCCACCACTGACACCGTCTATAACTGTTCTCACCTTTGCTGTCTCCACTCCAGCTATGCTGACTTGCTTGTTCCTTAAACATACCAGCTGTCTCCGGCCCCAGAGCTTTTGTGCATGCTGTCTGTTCCCCCAGATGCCCGCTTACTTGTTCTTTCACCTGCCTCACGTCATTCCTCACATATCACCATTTCAGTGAGCTTCACCAGATTTTAAATGGCTGTGCCCTCCTTCCCACACACCTCCTCACACGCACGTTCCCTGACGTATTCCGTCTCCATAGCGTGGCTCTCCTTCTGACATGAGATGTTTTCCTTGTCTATTGTCTACTTCTGTCCCCTTCCTGCAACAGAATATAAGATTCCTGAGGACAGAGATTCTCATCTGCTTGACTCATTCCTGTATCTCACGGGTTATAGTGGCACCTGACCAGAATCAGAAAGAGTTGATGTTTTATTGGGATGACTGCACGGACCACACTCTAGCTGTTTTCAGACCGTCTACCATAAAGAAGCCTGATGGACGACTGAAGTGAATTTGGAACCATTAACTCACTATTCATACTACCCAGGCCTGCCTGGAGGCCAGAGCAGAGGAGCAGAGAAGACTCATTAAACCCTCCTCGTGGCTCTGCAAAGCTCTCTGCTCTATCCTCACTGTTCTCTTCTTCAAGATGTGGTGGATGAAATCTTGCAGTGTTGTTTTCAGCTCTAGAACTTTAGGTTTTACTTTCCCTTAGGTCTACATTCCATGTGAAAAGCCAATTTCAGAACACTAGGACCAATGAACAGCTCACCGTGGGCTTGAGTTGATGGTTTCCTCCTGTGCATTTATACCCTTTAGCTGTTGTAAATAACCTCACCACTACAAAGGTAGCAAAATTATCCTTAGAATCATCTCCTAATCAAAGTTACAACTCCAGCTGGCCACAGTGGTGCACACCTGTAATCCCAGTGATTTGGGAGGCTGAGGCAGGAGGATAGCAAGTTTGAGGCCAGTCTCGGCAACTTAGCAAAGCCCTAAGCAACTTAGTGAGATCCCATTTCAAAATAAAAAAAAATTTAAAAAGGAGTGGGGACGTGGCTCAGTGGTAGAGTGACTATGGGCTCAACCCTCAGTACAAAAACAAAAACAAAAACACCTCACAGCTGTGCTGCAGCCCTTTTGGTCTTGTGTGAAATAAAATTCTCATTCCTGGGTCTGAACTGGTGCTAAGCCAAGGCTATTATGTTTGCTTTGTTTCAGAAATCAACCTATCTCGGGGATTCCCAAACTAGTTCTAATAAGGGAATCTCTAGAAATCTCTAGAAATCTTGTTTTTCTTTGCTGACCTTCATAAATTGAGATTTTAATATGAAAATTTAATGACATACAAAATTTGGAGCTAAGTCATTTATGTATCTATTCAAGTGTGTTTAAACATACATACATCTATATTTACATAATATACAGATACATTTTTTTTCCTTGTAGAGACAAACTGTATTGGATGCTGAATTTTAAGGAAAATTTACAGTGAGGCAACCTAATATTGAGAAAACTTGACCTTATTGTTTATTTTTTTGCAAACTGTGACACAGGTCTACCAACTGCATTTCAGAGCACAGGGCAGAAGGTCAGCACAGAGTGTTCGCTTGCTCCCTATCTTCTGGTTTTAAGACGGATTACTTAATCTCTCTGTGCTCCTGTGTTTTTCCTCAGTATTAAATGGAAATAATGATGATATGTCTAATTCCTAGGGTTGTCAACAAACCCAGACAGGCTGATAAAAATAAAACTCTTCAACTGCCAGGCACCCATCAAGGGCTGGATCAGCATTGACTGCATTAGTCCATTAGTCATGATTGGAAGACTTTTTGCTCAGGTTAAAGAGAGTGATTAAAAAAATAACAGCATTCTGAGGAAAGTGGAAAGATTAACAAGAAGAAAGGAAGAGAGATGAGCAGCATAAGCCACTGAAAGGCTGTATGAATTTATTTGACTTGAGTTTTTGTTAAACTTTTTGAAAAAAAAAAAGATTCATTTCTATTCATAGGGCTGCATCTGGTGGGCAGAGCCGGAGGTTATTGACCGTTCAGAACAGGGTGCAAGGGTCACCCGTGGGCTCAGTTTTGAGCAAAAGGCATTTGCAGGTTATCAGTTTCCATGAGACTTTGGGGCTATGTCTGGAACATCAGGGGCCAGCAAACTAAGGATTTTCTAAAGGTCATCTTTCAAATTGAGGAGAAACATTCAAAGGTATTTTTGTCTGTTAAATTTTAAAGTAACTTTTCAAAACTAAGGGCTTCTGAAAGACAAACAGAGAGAGAGGGGGCGGGGCACATGTTGGGCATGACCAGAACCACCCAGAATTACCAGGGCTCTCACATGGTATTTTCCAAAGTCTTTGACACCCTCAGAGGGGTTCCCAGGTTGACTTTGGGTTTGGGGTTATTGCTTTGCCTGTGTTTGACCTTTCTCACATGTCACTGAACTGTGCTTAGTCTGGCCTTTGGGACATTGACCTACAAGCAAATAGATAATACTCTCAAGCTTGAATTCTGTTCAGAGCTTTAGTACAATGAAAACTCAAGCTGGAAAAGACTGTGAAGCTCTTTGACTTTCCACAGTGGAGTCCACTGTTTCTTCTGGCCGCATCAAGTTCATATTCATAAGTAAGTGACTTATTCTTGTCTATAGCATCTGAAGACCCTGTTCTTCAAGTCCATTCCCTTTAAGGGTTACCTTGTGGGTTATAACAACGCTAAAGGCATGGATAGAACAATGCCTTTATGATTTCACATTTCATATAATACAGATGACTCTTGGTTGCTCTCATAACAATGCTATTTTATGTATCGATTCTCTTAAGAAGTATGTGTGTGTGTGTGTGTGTGCGTGTGTGTGTTTGTTACAAATGGGTGCATAGATCAAATAACCTGCCAACAGGAAAAATGCCAATGAGCTTCTTTTTTAACATAACTTTATGAAAACACAATTCTGTTTTTAATGATAATCATGAAGTCTCAAGCTTCATCACGGTAATTTTTTGAAAAATATAAATTTTATCATACTCTTTGCTTGCCTAAAAGCCTCTATTAGCTTTTATAGACCTTGGGTTGAGACGCCAAGTTCCAGTGTTAAGGATCATGAGGTCCAGAGGAATCAACCAACTGCATCCCCCGGAGCTGTCCCATCTGCTTTCCCCAGACCTACCGACACCTGCTGTGCTGTCTCAGACCTGGGTGTTTGCAGGTGCTCTCCCCTGCCTGGGACACTCTTCCTCCTCTTCTCCTCTTGGCTCCCTTGACCTTATCCTCCGGGAATCACGCTACATGTGCTCACTCCAGAGTCCCCCTCAACTCTCTAGACAATTCAATCCCACTGTTCCAGGGGCCAGGAGATATCTGTGTGTCCCCTTTACCCTCAGCCATCATACCTGTGCTTTCCTATATGTCATGTGTCTTCCCTGCCACACTATAAGCTCCATTAAGGTAGGGATGGTTGGAAGATTATTCCAGGTAATATTTAAGTTGAGTCAATCACACCCTCGAGGGGTTTTTCTCTGGGCTTCTGGGCTTCCAGCTGTCCTGAACTGACCTTGCAGTAAAGGAATGGGAAGACTCAAAATACAGGATTCTTTTCTTTTTAATTTTTTTCCAAGTAGGCATTTTTACAATTTGTTCTTTTTAGATATACAGGAGAGTAGCATGTATTTTGACATAATATATATACATGGAACATAACTTATTCTAATTAGGATCCCATTCTTGTGGTTTCACATGATGTGGAGTTACACTGGTCATTTATTCATATATGAACATAGGAAAGATATGCCCAATTCATTCTACTGTCTTTTCAATTCTCCATCCCCACTTCCTTTCATTCACCTTTGTCTAATCCAATGAACTTCGATTCTTCCCTCCCTGACTCCCTTATTTTGTGTTAGAATCTACATATCAGAGAGAACATTTAGCCTTTGATTCTTTGGATTGGCTTATTTTGCTTAGCATGATAGTCTACAACTCAATTCTTTTACCTGTGAATGCCATACTTTTATTCTTCTTTAAGGCTGAGTAATATTCAATTTTTTATACATACCACATTTTCTATATCCATTCATCTGTTGAAGTATACCTAGGTTGGTTCTATAGTTTAGCTATTATGAATTGAGCTGCTATAAACATTGATGTAGCTACATCACTGTAGTATACTGATTTTAAGTCCTTTGGGTATAAACTGAGGAGTGGGATAGCTGGGTCAAATGGTGGGTCCATTCCAAGTTTTCTGAGGAATCTCCATACTGCTTTCCAGAGTGGTTGCACCAATTTGCAGTCCTACCAGCAATGTATGATTGTACTTTTTTTTCCTACATCTTTGCCAACATATATTGTCATTTGTATTCTTAATAATTGCCATTCTGACTGGAGTGAGATGGAATCTCAATGAAGTTTTAATTTGTGTTTCTCTGATTGCTGGAGATGTTGAACATTTTTTTCCTATATTTGTTGACCATTCCTATTTCTTCTTCTGTGAAGTGCCTGCTCAGTTCTTTTGCCCATTTATTGATTGGGTTATTTGATTTTTTGGTTCTAAGTTTTTTGAATTCTTTATATGTCCTGGAGATTAATGCTTTATCTGAGCAAAAGATTTTCTCCCCTTCTGCAGGATCTTTCTTTGCATTCTTGATTATTTCCTTTGATGTGAAGAAGCTTTTTAGTTGGATACCATCCCATTTATTGATTCTCAATTTTACTTCCTGTGCTTTAAGAGTCTTGTTGAGGGGCTGGGGATGTGGCTCAAGCGGTAGCGCGCTCTCCTGGCATGCGTGCGACCCGGGTTCGATCCTCAGCACCACATACAAACAAAAGATGTTGTGCCCGCCAAAAAAAATAAATATTTAAAAATTAAAAAAAAAAAGAGTCTTGTTGAGGAAGTTCATTCCTAAGCTGACATGAGTTGGGCCTACATTTTCTTCTATTAGAAGAATTTCCTACTTGGAACTCCTAGATTCCCTGAAGTTTACTGGAAGACAGATTTTTCTGAAAGACCCTGAAAATTTCTAATCTTCCCAAGATTAGACCTGGTCTAATGCCTAGGTCCTTGATCCACTTTGAGTTTTGCACAGGGCGAGAGACAGGGGTTCAATTTCATTCAGCTATATGTGGATTTCCAGTTTTCCCAGCGCCTTTTGTTGAAGAGGTTATCTTTTCTCGAATGTTTATGGCGCCTTTGTCTAGTATGAGATAATCATACTTATGTGGGTTTGTCTTACAGGAGTATTTTCTATAAAATTTTTAGATAGTAAATATTTTATGCATTGGGGAGAGGGAGGGTCATACAGTTTCTGTCACAGCTATTCAGTAGCTGTAGCATGAAAGCCACCAAAGACAAGATGAAAATGCATGTGCATGATAACTGTATTCTAATAACACTGTAATAAAAAAGAGAGGCAGTGGGCTAAATGCCTTCACTGTAGTATTATCCTTTAAACTGGAAGGTCTTCAATTCCCCAGAGACCTTTTCTCAGTCCTCACTTTCTGGCTCCCTCTCTCCCTTCCACTTCTCCTGCAATACCAAGAGCCAATGGCATGGCTAGTGGTGACACTAGACTTTGGTGACATTCAGCCCATTTATTCTGTTGTTCCAGGCTGGCCCTTTCAGCAAGTCACACTAGCAGCCTTGGTCATAGTAAGCTACACTTAGGAATATGGTGGGCACTGGCATTTCTACTCCGTGGATCTTTGCTTTGCACCTGGAATGTGCCTCCTCCAACTTTGATAGCCCCACCTCTCCTATGGTACTGTTCACTCGGACCCTTTCTGGAGGCTGTCAATGTCCCAAGATGTCTCAGATGACACATTCATATGCTGGTCTCTGTCCCTGCTCTCTTCTTCCGGGCAGTAATCTTGCAGAAGTCTGTTGCTAATGCTCTAAGCTACAAAAATCTTTGATCTGTCCACCAGTAGTGGCCAGGAGACTGTCCTCCAATGTGTATTTCTATGTTGATAAGATTATTTTATCAAGAGAAAACTTCAACCCTAGTAGATAGATAAACAGGAGCACATGTGTTGGACAGCTTCTAGACCACATGTCCTTTAGCAGAGAGGGACCTGGTGTTGGTGTAGGCAATAACAAATTCTTGGGGGATTCCACCTCTAGGTAGTCAAAGTCTGCCAACCAGTGTTTAGAAATCTCAATTTCCTATTTGGGACTCCTAGATTCACTGAAGTTTACTGGAAGACAGATTTTTCTGAAAGACCCTGAAAATTTCTAATCTTCCCAAGAGATTTGGGTAAGATGTTATTTAGGTTGGGGAAGGTTAAAATAATTTAATATGTAAAAATACAGGTGGAAAAGAAATCATATTAAATCTTATTTTCAGTTCTGAATTGTTTCATTATTGGTTACAGTAAAAATTTATTATTATAGATTATTAAACTGGGTGCAGTGGCATACACCTGTAATCTCAGTGGCTTGGGAGGCTGAGGCAGGAAGATTATTGCAAATTTGAGGCCAGCCTCAGCAATTTAGTGAGGTCCTAAGCAATTTAGCAAGACCCTGTCTTGCTAAAAATTAAAAAGGGCTAGGGATGTAGCTCAGTGGGTAACACACCCAACCTCAGTGCCTATATATATATATATATATATATATATATATATATATATATATATATATATTTAAAAAAATATATAAGAGGTTCTCATTATATCTTCCTGTGAAGGATGTGACCCAGAACAAATTGTGAGCCTAGGTGCTAATAAAATTATAAATATTAGTTAAAGAGAGTAAAATTAGGTGACATTGCAATTGCTTGCATTGCTAAAGAAAAATAAAACACCATGTCACTCCTAAATCATAGGAGGAGACTTCTCCCAAGGCCCTGCAAAAAAGTCTGCTGATCCCTGAAAACTAGATTTGTACTATGTTTCCAGGGTTTCAGAGACTAGCAGAGATATTCTCCAGCATCTGCTACTTAAGTTTCTCAGGATCTCTCTAAGGAAAAGTAAATTAGCCAGTAGGTGAAAACATGGTCTAATTATATATCAGGGTGTCATTCTATATTTGTAATGATACAAGGCAACTCATCGAATATCCAATTCCAAAAGCATCACCTTTTCTGGAAGACATCACAAGCAAGGCCTTTGTTCATCCTTTCTAGTAAGTTTGGTTTTGCATTGTATTTTCCAAAATTTAGGATTATAAAATTCCCAGTGTCTTCGCAGGCAAGAAATTAGCATTTTCAGTATAATGGCCTTAAAACTCATCCTTGCCATTGTTGAACCACCAGGGTTAAGGGCACTAACTTCCATTTCTGACTGAGCTAGTGATACATGCCTCCAGTCCTGGAGAACACACATCTTTTGAAGTCCAGCTCCTTGGTGTGTCAAATGGGAACAGAATTACAAAGTTTAGAGGGATGCTGAAAGAGAAAACAAAGAGAAGAATGGCCCCTGGGATTTTGTAGCTGGCCTTGTGCTCACAGCCAAGCCAAGTGAGTCTCCTCTTAGACATAAGCAATCTCTTAGCATACCAGCCTGAAGAAGTTCCTCTGAGCCCAGGATAAAATAAGACAACCCAAGAGGCCAGTTCATAATCATGTCTAAGCACAGACAAAATCAAAGCCACAGAATACCCAGCATGAATCACTGCTATTTCTTTACCCAATCATGAA